AGGAGAAGAGAGGAGAAGAGAGGAGAAGAGAGGAGAAGAGAGGAGAACGGGGAAAAAAAAGCCCTCATGTTTCTATCTACCCATCTAGCCTTTATCAGAGAAGCTTCTTATGGCAACATTATGGTAGCCTGGATGAAAATGGCCCCCATAGGCCCACAGGGAGTAGCACTAATAGGAGGCGTGGCCTTGTTGGAGGAAGTGTGTCACTAGGAGTGGGCTTTGAGGTTTCAGATGGTCAAGCCAGGCCCATTATCTCTCTCTCTCCCCCTGCTGCCTGCAGATCCATATTAGAAGTCCTCTTACACACACACACACACACACACACACACACACACACACACACACACATGATCTAAGGCACACACACAGATGAAATCAAACAAAAAAATCACACATAAAATCAAATACACAAAAGGAAGTACATGGGGGATGGGGTGCATGGAGGAGTGCAGAGACAACTCAGCAACTGAAAGCATTGGCTACTCAATGGCTACGTGCTTCTGCATGCTTTAATCCCACGACAATGGAAGCAGTAGCAGGTAGACTTTTATGAGTTCAAGGCCAGATATGCCTACATAGTGAGTGCCAGGCCACACAGGGCTATACAGTAAGTCCCTAACTCAAACAAAGAAAGTTTAAATCTGACCAGAAATAAGAAACCGTCAATTTTGTAAAAAGAAAGAGAAAGACTTGAGGAATAACTGAAGAATGGACAGAATTTTACATGTTATTAGAGAACTATTGTTGATTCTTTTTAGATATAATAATGACAGATATCTAGAAAAATATTTTCAATTTTTAAAGATGCATGGCAAAGTACTTAAATGTAAAGTAGAGTGTTGTTTGTGATTTTCTTTAAAGGAATACAGCCAAAACAACAGTAAAATAAAAAAGGAATTTAAAGGCAAACCAAATACAGCAAAATGTCAGTGGGATGCAGGTGAGGCTCTCTGAGTCTGGCTCAGAAGTGAATTCCCCACTCCTGTTATCCCACCCACTCAACTTCTCACACAGAAGAGTCTGCATCCACTTATCAAGACTTGCTAAAAAGACTTAGTAATTTTTGTGGGGATCAACTTTATTCCTTTTCTATTTGTAAGCACTCTCCTCCAACTTCAGGCTTTCCCAACACCACCTAGTTATCACCCAGAAGTGAGAAATCACTGTTTTCCAGAAACCAGGTCCATCACCTGCACTGGAGGTCCCAAAGATTCATCTGTCAAAGCCCCAAATATGGCCACTGCTCTTTGATGTGAGATACCTGCCACACCTCCCAAAGCATGTCTTACCTTTCGTGTCCTGCATGACAATTGAGCTATACTTTAAGAAGGTTATCAGCAGATTACTGGTCTGTACATCTGCATCCAGTGAGAGTTCCACAGAACTTATAACTGGAATAGAACAAATGAAACACTTAGCCCAGAACATATTCCACCTAACACTTCTACCCACATAGCCAATTTGCCAACAGGCAAGAAAATGACTAAATAAGATTTTCCTACAACAGAAGGAGGACCCAGTACTTTCCATAAACCTTTTTGCTACTCTTACTAGGCCTCTAGAGCCCCTCTACCCCATACTCCCCCAAAGCCTGTCAATTTTCTTTCTCACCTAGTACAGGAAGTTGTTCTCCTAACATCCTAGAAAAGAATGTTGATCCTATTCTGGCCCAAGTAATCAACAGTTCAAGGTTCTCTGAGAGAGACTGTCATTTCTAACTAAAGGAAAAAGTTATACTGAACATAAGTGAGCTTTACTTTTATGAGTCTCTCATTTAAAATAGAGTTCTTCCAAATAAAGAGAAATTTTGCTCAATCTTGAAAACAAGTCTGAAATACCCAAGATGAAAGGAACACAGGCTGAGGAAGAGCAGGCTCAAGCTCTGCCCCTTTGGAACACATCCCCTAGGAAGGGAACCTGAAACACTTATCAGACAGAAAACAGGGGAACGCCACTGACTAGCACCCTGGAGTTGGAATTTACATGTCCAGCCTCTGTTTGCAAGAGAGGATCCTTTTGCTTACTCAATCCCACCCTCTGTGAGTCATGGCCCCAGAAAACAATGGGAAGTCAGACCAGAATTGACCTAACCACAATAGCTTTAACTTAAAGCTCCCAAGATTCAAAGACTTTAAATTAGAATTAGTCAGCTTGCTAAGTGTTTTAAATGTCTAAAACAGAAGAATACATATACAAAAAGAGCCTCAAGATGGCACAGAGATGTTTGAAAATCTAGAGCTTTCTGTTATATTTTAAACTATAAACACACTGCTAGGTTTGGGGTATTAGTCATAATATGTATTCATAACCATCATGGATCCCTCTGGAGTTATTACAATGAGTACAGAGAACATTTATTAACAATGGGGAACACTGTGCATTTTGGTTCCACAATACACAGCAAAAACAAACTTAGGAAAAGAAATTAGCACGTCCAACCCTTGTCTCTTTTCCCATAATTTGGCCACAAAGAACAAATACAAGATAAATTTATTTTTGTATTGAAATATTAAAATATTTCCTAACCAAACTGAGCTACAGAGTGAGACCCTGTCTCAAACACAAACAAACCTAAAAGGTTTTAATTCATGTTAGGTTTACTAGCACAGGCTATCATCTCAAATCAGCCATTCTTAACTCAAAACTCATAATCATTCCTTTGTTATCTAACTAATAAGTGGAAGTTTTACCTTACTCACACCCAGTGATAACTAGAAAACTCTCTTACATAATATAGTAGAAATATAGAGCTATATGTATTTTTAGTTTACCAGAAAGTCCTCTCATGCCAAGGCGGAGTTGTCAAATGTCAAGTCTGAGCTGCGAACAAATGTTACAGCTAACTGCTGGCTTTTAAAAATAATAGTGCCAGTGACATACCTTTAAATATAACTGGGCTACAGAGCAGCACTATAATTAAAGACCAAAAATTAAAAATAATATAATATTTAGGACCCCTACAGAAAGTAAGATAGGGGAGAATTAAAAAAGGACAAATAAAATAAAGACAGAGTCAAAACCCTCACAAATTAAAATCTCCTTCTTAAGCAAGTTTCATTTCTCAATTGTTAGCTTTATAATTCTTCCCAGTAGCTTTTGTCAAGAGAGGCAGTCATCTGAAAGTGGGTTGATCTTCCCACTAGAACACTAAAGGCTCTGTGATTGTAGGTAAGCACAAATCCTGCCATTGCATAATCAAGTGTGTGGGTGAAGTATTCACAACCAACAGTTTGAAAGGCAGTGCTCTGAAGCATCCGAACCCCAACATCACATGGAACCGAGATATATATACACTCACACTCACAATCACACATATATGGCTTTGGATATCCATGGTAACTAGGCAAACTTCATCCTTAAAGAAGAAGTACAGTGTTTCCATTGGTTTATCCAATGACCTGAATAAACAGACGGGCAGGCAATTCTCACTACGCTTCTTCTCATTAAGATATTTTGGAATTTGGCTTTCAATTCTAAACAGATCCAATTTGCTGTCATAGATCTGGATATCAATGACACCTCTGTGCCATACTTACTTCTCTGCTGCCTATACTGCCTAAAATGCAAATGTACAAGGATGTTATAGAAATGTAGGGCTGAGCTGAGCAGTGGGTGTGCTCACCTTTAATCCCAGCACTCTGGAGACAGAGGCTGGTAGATCTGTGAGTTCCAGGCTAGCCTGGTCTACAGAGCAAGTTTCAGGCCAGCCATGGCTACTCAGAGAAACCCTGTCTTGGGGTGTAGGGGCAGCTACAGTGCAAAAAAACAAACCTTGCTAATTAGGTGCAAAGCACTGGTTAAGACTGGAAAAGAACTTCAAAGAAACAAAGAGGGAGGGGCACACAAAGGACCATGCTGGATTTCTTAACATTTTCAAACCATTGCTAGTGCTGTTGCTGTTGTTGAGCTCACGTGTTATAACATGCATATGAAGGTGAGGGGCCGGCTCCCTCTCCCTTTATGCTGATAGCTAGGGATCGAACTCAGGTTCTCAGGCTTGAGAGCAAGCGCTTTTACTCACTGGACCATCTTGCCTATCCCAAAGTTGGCTATTTCTTATATTCATTACACAAACAAGTTCAACATTTGATGAATAACACCAAGTATTAAAGTATATATATTTTTAATTGTTTCAGACAGGGTCTCATAAAGCCCAGGTTGGTCTCAAACTCACTAAATAGCTGAAGATGATCTTGAACTTCTGATCCTCCTGCCTCCACATCCATCACCATGTGCCACCATGCTGACTTTTATAAGGTGCTGGCAATCAAGCACTCTATCATTGGGCTACCACCTCGGCCACATATTTATATAATAAAATAATATATCTCCCATGAGCCTCTCTAGCAACCCAAGAGTCCTTGCAGGACAGGCATTAGTCAGTGGTGCAGTCACTTTCAGTTCTAAGACTATCTGAGGAGGACAAACCAGGCTTATATTGTTTCCTGGGTTGTGTTTGATTGTTTGGGGCATTTTAAGACAAGAACTCTTTATGTACACCTGGCAGTCCCGGCACTCACTATATAGACCTGGCTAGCCTCAAACTCACAGATTTCTATCTGCCTCTGCCTCCCAAGAGCTAGAATTAAAGGTGTGCCACTACCACAACCCTGGCTAGTAATTTTTTGAGATGTTTCATGCAGCCACGGCCAGCCTTGAACTAGTTCCTACAGCTGGGATTACAGGTATACACTACCACACACAGTTTTAAATAGTTCCTTTTTCTTTAAAAAAAAAAAAAAGATTTATTTAGTTTATTTATATAAGTACACCATGGCTGTCTTCAGGAATGCCAGAATAGGGCATCAGATCCCATTACAGATGGTTGTGAGCCACCACATGATTGCGGGGAATTCTACTCAGGAACCTCTAGAAGAGCACTCAGTGCTCTTACCCTCTGAGCCATCTCTCCAGCCCCCTTTAAGATTTATTTTTAGTCAGGTGGTGGTGGTGTAGAACTACACAGAGAAACCTATCTCAAAAAAATAAAAAATAAAAAGACAGAAAAAACTGTATTCTTAGTATTTTTAAGTGTGTGGGTGCCCCCACCCCCTACAGGGCTGAAGTGTTACATTCTCTGGTAAGTTAAAAACAGTCGAGAGCTGCCTGATATGGGTGATGGGAACTGAACTCAGGTCCTCTGTAACAAAGGTGTGTGCTCTTAGCCACTGAGCCATCTCTGCCGCCCCACATGTTTCTTACACACAGAAGAAACACTCCATTCAACTATCTTTCCAAATTTTTCTCTAGAACTTTGGAGTCTAAAACATATCATCACATGTTTCTTTTTTTCCTTTCTTTTTTTTTTTTTTTTTTTTTGCAGGGAGGTGCATTGGTGACAAGTATTTATTTATTTACACCAAATGCTGCCCCCATCTTCCCCTCAGAGTCTCTCGCTCATCCCCATGCCTCTGAGTCGGGGGGCGGGGGGGGGGGGGCTCTGAGCATTCTCCAACCCTGGTCCATCCAGTCTCTATAGGATTAGGCACATGCTCTCCCACTGAGGCCAGTCAAGGCAGCCCTCTGCTAAATTTGGGGGGTGGGGGGAGCTTGGTACAGCCCAGGTATGATGCTCTTTGGTTGGATACAGTCTTCTATGTCACCTGGGTTGGTTTCAAATCCCTGTGCTGAAAGTGGTCCTTCCATCCCAGACTCCCAAATGCTGGGAATACTGGGCATATGACACAGCCCCCAACTCAAACAAATTCTTCCTTTTCTTTTTCCTTTTCTTTCTCTTTCCCATCTTTCTTTTCCTCCATCTTGGGGATTAAACCTAGGGCTCATGCATGATGGGTAAGCATGCTATCACTAAATTATACCCCCATCCCTTTTTAAATTTTAAGTTGACCCAGTAAACCAAGCAGCCCTTAAACTCATAATTCTTTTACTTCAGCCTCCAAGTAGCTGGGATTACAAATGTGTATCAGCACTAATTACCCACTTACACAAATTAAAAGGATAATTAAAAGAATTAATAAATATATTCTTTGCTCAACACAGCTGTGCTTAACCCTATAAGATCTAGAATCAGCCAGGCAGTGGTGCCACACGCCTTTAATCCCAGCACTCAGGAAGCAGAGGGAGGCAGATCTCTGATTTTGAAACCAATCTGGTCTACAGAATGAGTTCCAGGGCAGCCAGGGCTACACAGAGAAACCCTGTGTCAAAAAACCAATGAACCAAAAAGAGAAAGAGAGAAAGATCTAAAATCATATTAATCAAGAACCCAATAATAAAAGTGGTGGGCTCACCGTCAGAGGAAGGTGGTGTAGTCCCAAGTGGTGTGACTGGGGTTGTAGGAGTGGGGCTGACAGGGGTTGTCACCAACCCCATTTCTGGATGGCTCTGAAAGAGGACACAGATGGGTAAGAAAACAGAATGTCTACTTCTCCGGAAGTCTCCTCTACTAAACATGGTTTTCCAGAATCAAACTGAGACTGGCAGCTCACTGCGGACCTGTATCTAGTATCCTGAATACCTGATTACTATTAGTGTCTGCTGAACTAACAAGAAGCACTGTGAGTTAATTTTCATTATGAAATTTGGGTTCCAGTACAAAATTTTTCTGTTGAGCCATATAAATTTTTTAAAAACCACACAAATTATTCAGAAGTATGGACTACTTTCATGACCACAGAATTGATAAATAGACATAAGTAAACCAAGGGAATGCTAGGAACCATAAACAGTACTCTTCTGACTACAGCCTTGCTGTTCCACATAAGCAAAACAAAAACAAACACAAACAAAAACCCAAGACCATGTGAGCCAGGAAGACGGCTCCAAGGGGAAAGGTATTTCTTGCCAAGCTAATAACCTGAATTTGGTCCCCACAACCCATATGATAGAATAGAACCAACTCATGAAAGTCATCCTCTAACCTCTACATGCACCACACTTAAATAACCCCCAACATACACATAAACAAAATACATAAATGTGAGGAAAAATCATGCAGGAGTATATAAAGTGTCAAGGCAGAGGCAAAGAAAGACATCTAATGTGGACAATATAGATGGCCACTGTGGTCTTCCTGGCTACCCCAACTGAGAGCAAGAAGCTCAGAAAAAGCCTTTCCCTTTCCCATAGCTTTGCCAGTCCCTCATCTTTCTCATGTCTTCTAAAGTCATTTATGGAATTTGATAGACAAGAAACCTGGCAAGAATAGTAGATAAACTTTCTTACATTATCTTATAAAACTAATAAGAGTCCAAAGCGCACCCCAAAACAGTGAATTGTTTTCAAAACACAGCTTTATTTTTTGGTTAAAATTCTACTAGTAGATTACTTTAAAAGAAATATACACACCAGGCATGGTGGCATGTGCTTTTAATCCCAGAGTTCAGGAGGCAGAAACAGGTGGATCTCTGAGTTCAAGAACAGCCAGTCAGGCCTACCCCATGAGATCCCAAAACAAAAAAAAACAAAAAAAAAGGGTTGGGTAGGGTAGGGGATAAAGAAACAAACTTACATATTTTAAACAGTGTGCATTAAGATAAAAACATTTCTGCCTTTTAAGATAGCTTCCATGGGCTTCAGTCCCAGCTTGATTTAGTCCCTTCCTGTGCCAACTACTGAGGATACCCCGTAGGCATACGAGCAAGTATCTCATGTCTTCTTAGTTTCAATGTGTATACACTATTTTGTCTGTTAACAGCTAACACATTCTAGTTAGAAAGCTTTTTGACTTTTGGTCTCTGGAAACTGATAAGATAATGGCGTAAGTGACCTGGCCTATAGAATCCCCAGTTGTAATTCCATAAAGACTTAGAAAAAACACAGACTAACAGAAAACTCCAAAAACTACACAGAGCAAATAATCCCAGCAGACCCTAATAGGTAAAATGTAGTAATCTCAACTCTTTCAAGGGTAATAGAATCAGCAAATTAGTCCAGCACTAACTTTGCATGCACCAGTTGAACACACTCACGTGAGGACAGCACAAAGCATAGGCAACTGCTGCAACACTCTGCTACTACCACTGATTAACGAAAAGCTGAGTTTACACAAACACAGCCAGATGGGGTTTTAATGGAATGAACCTATGTGTGAAATTCAAGGGGAGGGCTGAGGATACAGCTCAGAGAAAGCATTTGCCTAATATGTACAAGGTCCTGGATTCGATCCCATAACATCACAAAAACTAAAGATAAATAAATAAAATAAAAATTGAAGGAGAAAGGGATGCTGGGGAAGGGGGTCTCACTTTGTAACCCTGGCTGTCCTGAAACTCAGAGATCCACCTGCCTCTCTCTCCCCAATGCTAGTATTAAGGGTGCAGGTCACCACACCCAGCCATGATTGGGGTTACCAACCTGAGCTAAAACTGTGATGAAGTTTCGATTTAAATGGACAGCTTCATAAAGTGCCAGAAGAATGGCCTCATTGGTTCTAAAGAAAAAGAGAACAAATCAGGTTTCTTTTTAAAGAGTAGATAACGTGGAACATTATAACCATTATATAACATTATATATATAACATTGTATAACATTACAACCGTCAAGAGCTCCTCACTGTCAATCCCTCCTTTTACCCTTTGGACTCGTGCAAATGAACACAGTTGAGAACCTGAAACCCTGGGACCAGTTCTGCCCATCACTACCCAACAAAACGTGGAAGAGATGGATACCCAGCCCTCAGTCACTTCATTCCAGAGACCTTAACACTCAGGAGGCAGAAGCAGGAGGATTACTACAAGTTTGAGGCCAGGAAGATTTATACAGAGAGTTCCAGGGCAGCCAGGATTACACATAGCCACATCAAGTCTCAAAAACTTTTTTTTAAGATGGGGTCTCATGATGTCCAGATCAGCCGCAAGCTCACTAATTAGCAGAGGACGTTTGTGAGCTCCTGCTCCTCCGACCTCCACTCCAGGAGGACTGGGATAACAGGCATATGCCAGTCACATCCAGTTTATTACATGTGGATGATCAAGCCAAGGGCTTCATGCATGCAAAGCAAGCATTCTACCAAACCTAGTCTCTAAAACAAACACCTCTAAAAACTCATTGATGCTTAAAACTCAAGAAACACTTCACAAATCATTAAAAACTTTTAATCCACAAAATGTTGACAAGAGGTTACGTTTTCTGCTCTCATATTCAGCAATTGAGAGCCCACACTCAAGCCCAAGTACTTACTGTACTGAGATTTTCTCATGGGCGTCTGCTATGAACATGCTGCCCACCTGTGGAAGAAAAGAGGAATAGCAGGTTTTATACAGGAGGACAGGAGAAGCGCTCAATCCCTAAGAACTGAATCCATGAAAAAACAATGTTTCTAGTAGCACGGAACAAGGAACTCTGGATCATCAGTCATCCTTTGAGAACTGTAAAAGACTTACAAGGAATAAGTGTAAAAATGAGATGCCTCCTAAATCATCTAGCCCCTCCGTGTGTAAGTCTGTAACAGTATCAAGGGACCTGTCAACCTAAATATTCTAATCACTGTATGGTTCCTAGAAGCTGTTTATTTGCAGTCAGAAACTAACTCAAAAAGAATTTCGAGCTTGTCCTGAAACCTACAACTATAATCCGAAACTCAGACGTTCAAGAGCAGTCTGGGCTACATAGGGAATGGCAGCCAACCTGAGCTACAGTATGGAAACCTGTTTCAAATAGAAATAAAAGAAAATAATTATTTAAACTTCAGAGAAAGTAGGCTGATACCAATTATGAAAAACCGGTTTTCTTTCAGATCACAGGATTTTAACTTACACATGTCAGGGAAAGTAAATAAATGACTGACACAAGCTGCCTCTAGTACACTTTGAGGAGTCAGATGTGGTGCACACCTGCAGGCTAAGCACAGGAGGAGAGGAAGTTCAAGGCCATCCTCAGCTATATAACAAGTGCAAGGCCAATCTGGATTTCATGAGACTGGGCCTAAAAAATTGAAAATGTCTGAGAACAATCTATCTAATTCACATAATCAAGTATTAGTGTAAAATTCACATTCTATAGCCTATGAGACCCTTCAGTGATTTATGTCTTAGAGTTAAAGCATTTATAAGATTCTTTTGAAATCAGACTCTTAAGAAAAAGGGTAAGGATGCATAGGCACCAGGAGACAAGCTGCCTGGGGGAGGAACAGCTGCTGGGGTAAGAAACTTGAGAAACTCTAAGCTCTAGGGCACGTACACTATTGCCCCCCCCAAAACAGGTTCCAAATTTGCATATACTTTAGGACCCACTAGTTTTATTTATCTCCCCATCTTTTCTCTCCCTTTTTATACTTTTAATTTTTTTAATCTTTTTTAAGATTGATTTTATTGCCGTGTAGTGGTGGCACACACCTTTAATCCCAGCACTCAAGAGACAGAGGCAGGCAGATCTCTGTGAACTCAAGGGCAGCCTGGTCTACAGAGTGGATTCCAGGACAGCCAGGGATACAGAAGTTTCAAAACCCTGTCACAAAAATTTTAAAATATATGTTTTATTTTATGTGTATGAGTATTTTGCCTGTGTATATATCTGTGTGCCACATGTGTGCAGTGCTCACTGAGGCCAAAAGATAAAGTCAGAGCCCTGGAAATAGAGTAATGGACAGTTAACTGATAGTTGTGAACTGACATGTCGGTGCTGGGAATTGAATCTGGGTTCTCTGCAAGAGCAGCCAGTGCTCTGAGCCATCTCTGCAGCCCTCCCTTTTGTACTTTTGAGACAGAGATTCAGGATGTCCTTTGCCTCTGCCTCTCAATTGCTGGGATTACAGATATTTGTCCCATTCTAGATTTCTGTCTCAAAGATCAATCTCATTGGTGGGGATACCGCCTTGATGATTCACCTAGCATTCCCAAAGCTCAGGTTCAGTCCTCAGCACCATATAAACAGAGCATGGTAGTGACAGGCCTTATCCAGCTACCAGGAATCAGCATTAGGGAGGACTCATCTACACACTCAGCACTAGGGAGGACTCACATCTACACACTCAGC